TTAAGAATACCATTTATATAATATTAAAATATAAAGATATCTCATTTTCCATGTATAAACAACAATGCTAAATATCACAATCTTATTTAGCTATGCACTTATTATTTATCTGATATCCAGGTATCAGCTTTTGTTCAATGTTTTCCTTTTAGTCAGGCTTATTCATAATTTTTGGACAAGATTTTTTTCTGAATTTTTTGTATTCTCACCATTACTTTAACCTTTTATTAACGTGTATCAGTTTTGCTGTCATTTCATTCCCAAGCCTCATGTTTACAAGTATTATAATATATAAGATTTACTTAAAGTCAAACATCTTACTTTTAAAGGGGTAATTTTCCATTGCTACATTTGTTTAGACCTTAATTTCTCTTGACAGTGAAAGTATTATTTTTAATACTCTTTAGTAGGAGTATAAATCACAGCCTTTGTACATATCGAGCAGTTTCAAGCATATTAAAGCTGTTTATTAAAAAGACAGTGATTTTGATACCATAGGAAATCCCGTGCTGCTTCTCAACCTTCCTTAACTTACAGTTAAAGTTTTAATGGCTTATGGAGTGCATGGGAATAATACCCTCATAATTTCTCTTTCCTTTTAGAATACTGAGATTTTATTAAACTGACCCAATGAATGATGATTCTTCTGGTACTATTAAAAGCAATTTTAATTTTTAAAACATATTCAACATCACTTCATGCTTTTCACTGATCAGAAGACATACTATTTCAAAACTCCCAGTGTCTGGTGATATACAGGTTGTCACTGTTTCACTTTGATTTAGTGAATCATGAAACTCGAGAGACATGAGAATTCTGGTGAGTCACCAAGTCCCCAGTGCTAATATTACCGAGCAACTTCCAAAGCATAAAGCTATATATAAATGCAATTCCTGAGAACTAGGATTTTATTGAATATAGAAAAGTCTCAAGAAGAAAAATTCTGGAAAAATATGAAGATTACTGGAGTGTGTATACATTCCTAAGACTATAGTCAGACTTCTCAAGTTGAGATCTTAGAGAACAACCAATTATTAAAACCTTGTCTATGAGATGCTAATATGAGCTAATTCTTGAAAAAGGAAATGAACCTTTTATAAACATCAGTTTAAAATCTTTCCTAAATTAGCCACGTCAGGTCTTCTTGGTAGCTGCCACTCCTCACCGCTACCATTTGCAGATTCTAATGAAAATTCTATTCACAAACAGATTTTAATTGGATCAAATTCAGACAACAGATTTTTAAAAAGGCAGTCATATTTTAAATGCTTTTAAAATAACTAGTTACCTGGCAGATTTTAAAAGATATATAAATTTGTGTGTGTGTTTGCATGCGTGCATGTGTGTGTATGTATGTGTGTGTGTTTCCCCTCAAGCATAAAGAAATTGTATGGCTGTTCACCTGAGCACCCCAATTTTTATTAACTCAAGAAGTCCTTTCTTTTCTCATTTACAATGAACATAAATAGCTCAGTTTTTCCTCCATATCTCCTCTTGCTCTTGTAGTCCTGGGGGTGACCACAGAGATTTTCCGAAGTTTACTAATCTCAGGAATGCTTTGAGTTGTGATACATCGCACTAGTTGATTCAGTGAGGGGTCACAGATAAATGAAGTAACCAGCCCAAAGTTACACCAAAAATGGCAATAACAACTTTAAACTCTGTTTTTTTAAAAAAGAACACTAGACTATCTAGACATAAGATACTTATTATTTTAGAGATGATTAAACACTTATCTTAAGTATGTTCTTGACTAAGAAATTCTGGCAATTAAAATTCAAGATTTTTTCATTAATATTTCAAATCTTCAAAATGGACAAAAATATTAATGGAAAATATATTCTCTCTCCCTCTCTGAATATGAACACATACATATAATTACATACGTACAAACATACAGACAAATATACTTTATGTGAATTTATAAAGCATAGTTTCAATTATAACATTTTAACATACAGTAGCAGTCAGCCACCAAAATAAAGTTTATTTTCTATAACTTTATATTGGTAAGTGTAAATTAAACTCAATGATACCAGGCTGGCTTCACTTAGAGTCCTCTTGGAACATATTATGCTTTTTAGTTCTTGGAAATTCATTCCAAGAATGAATACATATAAACTTCAAATGACAATTCTAAATCAATAGTTTGGACCTGATCTAATATATTCAGTAAATATAAATATAAACTGTCAGAAATGGTCTATATTTTCACTGCACAGCAGTGAAAGAAATTATATAAGCTCAAACTGACAACCAATATATTTATATTTTACTTGATTTCAAAGAGTGTGACCAAAATATCAAATATTTGGAAAATATATACCTATAATATCGCCTATACTCTCATTTTCCTAATGGCAGCACTGTTAGCATTATGGGATCATTAAACTTTATATTTCAGTTACTTAACTTTTAAAACACTTTAGATGGAGAATCTCTTTGGAGACCACTTTTGTTCATTTCAAGGTTTTACCAATTTCATTTTTTTTTTAATTCAAAAGACAAACTAGAAATGTTCTCTCTTGTCCTGTATTCACAATGACTATTTTATAAAGGTCCTTTCTGTTTTCAGTTGATAAAATATCCTAGATACACCAGGTATCCACAATTTTTTTCTGTATAATCTGTAAGAAAAATTTTGGTATACAGAATGAAATAACTTCATAATTCCTATAACATTTTTAATGAGATAAAGCTATGCAAAATTTCACAAGCTATTTTCGAAAGTAAGTCTTTGCAATTTTCTCTTTTAATGACATCTTACTGAGTTTTAGGCAAAGCTGTATTCTTTTAGCTCTAGGTTTTCTTTTCTGAGCACATATTGAGGAAAGATAAATTAAATGACTTAGTTCAACCAAGCACACGGATCCACTCAAAGTATAATGATTGAGATGTATGTATCTATTAGAGTTGTGCCATATATCATATTAATTATTCATAACTATCTACTCTATTCCTCTTTTATAGATACAAGAAATTTTTACTGCCTAAGTTATTATAATATTCTCCTTCAATTTATTAGCATAGAATGTATACGTGGACTTTTCAAAATTAAAACTCGTAAAGAATAGAACCAAAGTTATTTTCTTTGAAAATTGCATGCTATATTTGTGTGGTGGCTCATAGATACCATACTAATAGAAATCTGGATATTTTTACATTCTTCTTGAAATAAATAGACAAAATGAATATTTTATCTATATTTAGATCATAGTAACTTCACAAAACATTAGTTGGATAAGATTAATTTTCAATTTAATGCAATTGATTTTCAAGGCACTATCTTAGAAAATTAGCATTTGGTGCTACGTTTTCTAGTTAAATATTTATGGCTTTATTGGGTACAGTTTGGCATTTTGAATTAAAAAAAATCTATCTCACAAAATTGTATTATAAATATATTAATGGTTCTCTATTTTTTTAAGCTACTGATAACATGAGGTTTGTGAAAACAACACCAGACTAAAACACAGCATACCTCTACTAACCTAAAACATCATAAACCTGGGCATATCATTCCTCTTTTATGGCTTCATTTGGTAGAGATGTTTGCTCTAAGAGAGTATTTCTCAACAGCGGAAATTTTACTCTGGGGTGACAAACGAAGGAAAATTATGGTTTTCATAATAATTTCCAAGAATTTGCTTTTCCTCATTTTTTATATTCACCTATAACTGTAACACACCAAACATCCTGTCAAAAAGGAGCGGCGGCTGAAATTTGTATGTGTTTTTGTGTGTCTGTGTTTCAAAACAAGTTAACATTCATTTAAACATAGCTTTATTGGACCCCTCACACTCTCAAGTGGAATTAACAGTCTTAAATGTATAGCCCACCATTTTCGACTTTTTAGGGCACGGAGAGTTTGATCTACTTCTGTAGGGCTGCCATTTCGACTAAACAGCTTCATCATAATAATTCATTAAATTCTTCATTGTTTAAGCCTTCACACTACATTCACCCCCAACAATGCCACTGCAACTTCATGACCATAAACTCCACTGTACATAACATACATTGTATCAAAATGTGTTTTGAAATACTCATGTTTTTAAGGAACAAAACATGTATTTTGTTCCTATCATAGTAATGCCTAGAGTCTTTGAAGGAATAATCTCTGGAATGTAACATCTCTGGAAAACTTTTACAACCATTATTCTCAAGTCCTAGTTCTTTAAGAATCTTTCTTCTTTCTTGGTGATTCTTATAAGTAAAAATCATCATTCTACTACAAAAGTTAAAACAAAATGAATGAAATTGAACTGAATTTTCCTTTTCTTTTTATATTACTAGCTTTTAAGAGGATCAAAAAATATAAGGAGAATCTAGAATAAAACATGATAAATTTGTTTTACTAATATTCATGTATATTGTATAAATGTCGGCCTGCAATAAAAACATCAAGTCTTGTTAGACTTTTATATAAAATCTTTTATTCTCTTCAATTTTTAAAGGCAATTGCTTATACAGGTTTCTTTTAGGGATTTACTATCTGGGATTACTTCTCTTATTTTCAATTGTACACAAAAAAGAGAAAATGAACTCTGTAAAGAATAGCCCAATATTCCAAATTATACTGAGTTGGAGATTATCTCAAACTCAGTGCTTTGTCTGAAAACATTTTCATTAGCATCTACATTTAGAACTATGGAAAGATCTGAGTATATATTATCAAAGAGCAAATTATATTTTCCAACTGTTATAACTAGTATTAAACAAGGCAAAGTCTTTAAATACTCATTAAAACTCTCTTTTGAAAAAGTAATCATCTAAAATCGGTACTAAGACGACACAGTGCCAGAACTTAATCTCTCTTCTCTAGTTTATTCCAGCCACAAGGTCTTGGCAGTCACAGTCTTGGCACTTTTTGATCAACTTTACCAAAAAAAAAGAATAATTTGCATCCAATATTACTTATTACAAGTCGGAAATCTGTGACTATTTTTCTATTCATAAACATGATCCTATAAGTGATCTCTAAAATTAAATAATCAGAAACTGGGTCCAAATTTACTCTCATGAAAATGAAAATAGCACAACATGAAATGCCTTCATTTGAGGCTAATGTCACAGAAAGAGAGAATACCCAGAACTCAAATCTCTCTCTTTTTATTTATAAATATTTGCATCAGTAAGTTTAACAAGAACATATATTATTTCTTTTGGGGATGACAGCAACACTGACAAACAGTCCCTGTTATGCCTGTCATTATGTTATTGCTAAATCATCCACAACATCATGACCTGATTTTAGTTACCAGGGACAAAGCCAAAACATGGAATTTAAGTTTCCTTCTGATTACATACAAATAGCCAGCACTTAAGAAAACCTTTGAAAAATGATCTACGTCCAGTTAAAAAAAAGAAAAAAGGGAGGGAAGGAGAGAAGGAAAAAATGAAAGGAAGGAAGGAAGGAAAGAAGGAAGAAAAGAGGGAAGGAAGGAAAAAAAAGAAAGACACCTTTAAAAGCCTAATATCACTAATTACACAGTAGGCCTTTGACATTCTCTATGCTGGTATAATAACTAAATGCCAAGTAACAAGAAAACAGTTTTCCCTGTGAGATCCCTGTTGCATGCTTTGATTAAAACTAAAAATTTACAACAAAATCAACCCTTGGGTAAATTGCTCTTTGGTTTAAATCTTCGTTACCTCCTAGAATTTTGGTAAAATCACTTTGTTTTTAAATTAAGCTGGCCCCTCCTTCTTTACGCCATTACAAAAGTCAAACAACAAGAACCAGACATAAATTTCAGAATGAAAAGAGTTTTGTTTGTGTGTGTGTTTGTGAGTCCAACCCCTGCATACAAACTGTTAAAAAACAGATGTTTTAACATAGTGCTTTATTCCAACTTAATCTCATCCTTGAATGAACTTCCTTCACGTTTCAACCATTAAAAAAAAAGCAGTCAATTTCCTGGTGGTTGTAATTTAATTAAGTAACCTTTCACACTGAGCAAAACCCAAAAGCAAAAGGGTCATTAATCTTTCTAGGGATTAGAGACACCTCTAGAGCTTCAAACATTTACCTCTCCTTCCCCGCAGTAGAAATGCTTTTAGGAGGATCATGGTTCATACCTCACATTCCCTGGAGCCAGAGATGGTATATGTGCAGGGCCCAGATCCATTAACGGATATATCCATGGTCTCAGAGTTTGTAGGCTTATAGTCCACATAATACTCCTGTAAAGGGGAATTCATTTGCCTTTCAGACTCTCTGGCCTTTTTCCGCCGCCTCTTCATAAGAGAGTGTTGCTGAAGTTGTTTCATGCTGGCTGGGTAGCGTTTCCAAGACACATAGATGACCAAGAGGATCATGGCCACTGAGAGAAAGAGAGCCACGCTCCCTGCAATAATTTTGTGAAATGAAACATGCTCATATTCTTGCTCTGTGCCAGGAATCTGAAACCCTGGGGAAGGGCTTGGTGCTTCAAGGGTGGGCTGGAGGGGGTCTGGTTTGGCGATTGTAGGTTTAGGGATAATCAGAGGCTTCTGGGGAGTTTGGGGCACCAGGTGTGATCTTTCTGTGTTGACCACCTGGACTTCAGAGCAGATATTATATGTTTCCACTGCATCACTAACCTTTTCACCCTGGATATGCTTAGGTCCTGCACATATCATGGTGCTTTCCTTATTTCCTTTAAAATTCTTGAGCCAATAAAACAGAGGACAAATGCTCCGACTGCAGTCCCACATGTTTCCGGACAAGGTGATGGATATTAATGAGATCCACGCATTGACAGTTTCCTGTGAGATGTTGGTAAGCTTGTTGGAATCCAAATTCAATTTCTGCAAATTCGGCAGACATTTAAACGTGCCAGGCTCAATTCCTTGGATGTCATTCCCTGATAAATCCAAGTTGTGTAAGGAACTCCAAGTCCATGTCAAGCCTTGGCTGATGGAGCGAATCCTGTTCCACTGTAAGTAAATTGAGCGGAGGTTGAAGAGACGTGGAAAATGAGCAAAGTTGATCTTGGAAAACTGATTGTGCTCCAAGTGGAGCTCCTTTAACTTCAAGAGGCCAGCAAAAGCATTTCGGGACAAGCTTCGAAGACGATTGTAACCCAAATCCAGAAAGTCAAGATTTCGACAGTCTTGAAAAACTCTTATGGGCACAGTCTTCAGTGAGTTAGATCTCAAGTGCAAAATGATGAGTTTCCGAAGGCCTTTAAATTGTTCCGATTGCAACGTCTGAAGCTTATTGTAGGAGAGGTCCAGATTACGGAGATTGGGAACTGGGTGAAATGTTTTATTGTGCAGATAGGTAATTTTGTTGGAGCTTAAAATTAATTCTTTCAGTCTACGGATCCCTTGAAATGCATCTTCATCCACTGAGCTAATGTAATTATGGTCAAGATAAAGCCATATAAGCTGGTTAAGGCCGGCAAACTGATTGGATTTGAGTTTCTGAATGCTGTTGAACCTTAATGATAAGCCTTGTGACCCTCCAGAAATGTTCTGGGGGATATCTGCAAAAGCATGAGACTCACAGTACACAATTTTGCCATCACATCTGCAGTTCTTTGGGCAAGCTCTCTGAGCCCCTGCGAGCGTAACAAGCAGCAGTGTGGGAAGTAGCACCAGCACCACACGCATGCCTCTCAGCTGCGTAATTAAATGGAAACCTACAACATTAAACAGAAGACAAACGCACATTGTAAAGCTATTAATATACATCACCATCAGCTTACCAATATCAGGGGTATTTCATCTCGCGTAGCTATGGGACAGTTGATTTGAGAACAATGTACCTAACATTTAAAGCCTTATTTTCCTCAGTGTTGCATGTTTGCTATTCAGGTTTCATTCTTTCTTCCTTGATTTTCAAATCACCACAGTGCCTAGAAGTAAGAAAAGCCTCCCCGAATTTCAAGAGTTCATTTGTACACAAACACTGAAAAGCACAGAGCCTATCTTATCACTTAATGCCGACATTTTAATAACAATAATTATTTAGCTAGTCACTCTGTTGAGCACCAGTACCAAAAGGAAGAGTTCTAATTCTTCCAGTAACGGCAAAAATGTGACATAGTAAGCCCCATACTTGTACCTCCTTTTGAGTTTAGCAAACAGGCTGTGATTGGCAAAGGAGCTTCAGTAAGCTGTCAAGGTAACCTAAGTTTGCCCTGCCTGAAATTGTATCCTTATTGCACAATGAAATAACAATATATGAGCTCTGAAAAAATGGCATTGGGACTAGTATAGGCAGCCAATGAAGCATGGTATGAAGACTAATAACAGTGCGAGGTACTCTCCAGGTGTTAAAGAGCATACATGCTCTCAACATTCAGGAAAAGCTGCCTAGTGAGGCTCTCCTGCCCAGTGATACATACATCGGCTCATAGCCCTAACTACTGATAACACAGGATACTCCAAAGTTAAGACTGTTAAATTCTAATTAAACATTTGCATAAAAGGCAAAATAATCTTGTGTAGTATTAGTTTTGCTGTTATTTTTAACACAGCTGCTTTTGTAAATTTCAGGCATAAATAGGGAGAGAAACAGACCGGTTATCCCCCTCCCCCTCATCCCGACCTGCTCAAATTTCTCACTCACTTTTTTTTCTCCCCTACCTCCATTAACTTCAGAAGACCTGCAAAGTTGCAATCTATTGGCACTTATGCTGCATTTCCAAGTCATACCGTGTTTAGGGACTTCTTTCCTCTGTCAACAGTAGATTTATTATTTCTTAGCGGTGGGGAAAAAAAAATCCTACCGTGTACTGCAGTTTCTTTATTTCTCTTAAATATTCATGTTTTCAACCAAGAGGCAATCAGCCAAACCCCTAATCAAAAAACTCTCCTTCTTTGCCTCAACCAGTTAAGTATTTTTTTTTTTATTTGAAACCCGATCTTGCTCTCTGTCCTCTTGCCAGCTACAGACTCATTGAAATACATTCTAGCTCTCCCATACAGGAGAAAGACGGGGGGGAAAGCCAGTCACACTTGAAAAAATAAGACTGGCAAATGACTGCTGGAAATTTGGAAGCTATGTTCAGGATACAGCTTCAAAGATAAAACAAGCCCTTGTGCGACCTCTGATAAAGTAAGGACCCCACCCCGACACACACGCAGTAAAGTGTGAACAATCTTCCTGACAGCAACCAGAAATACAAGCATGGTTAATATTATCAAGAAATAGAAGCAAACACAACATTTATCTCAAGCTCAATTCCCAAGCTGTAGGTACGCATACGGTAGAGACAGTCTTCAAGATATTCCTCTAGAGTCTGTTTAAGTCCGCGTTATGCATTTACGGATTAAAAAAAAAAACTACAAAGAGGAAAATGATCTAAAAATATAATAGCAACTATAGTGAGTCAACTGGCAAACTCAGAGGTTGCTGCTTTTTGCCTGTTTCTCCGTCTTTTATCAGCTAATGCCATGACTGAGGATAGGAAGCCAAGAGGATCAGGTTTGCTAAGAAAGAAACAACTAAAGTTCACTTACCCATCCTTTGTCATCCAAAAACGTTTCCCCCCTTTCTCAGCTTTCTTCTTATTTGGTCTCTTGGGCTGAAACCGACACCACCTTCATGACACAGTGCGGCTGTCATTCACACCATTCTGATCTCGCATGTGAGCTAGAAGCTCCATACAAACTTCCCCGAAGAGGACAGGCAAAAAAATATATATACATATATGAAAAAAAATCAGCATGAGGTGGGATGGGGGTGCGGGGAGAAGGAAGCCTTGCGGGGGGAGGGGGAGGGCCTCTAGGCTCTGAGGACCATTGTGTAATTCACCAGAGACCCATCAGCAGTAATTGGCAATCTGTGCAAAAGAGCTACAGCCCATCTCGGAGGTAACCAACTTCTCTGTAAAAAGAGAGGAAAAAAAGAGAAAATCTTCAGAATACCTGGCATTCCTTATTGTGCTGGCTTTTGCCATTCCCAGATAAAGCAATTCATCCTCTGGATTTTCAGTTCTTGAAGCAAGTGGGCCTCCTGTGCTGTATGAGACCCCAGTTTAAAAGCTATGCAGGCTAGGTTTATCCATTTAGCTGGTCAGGTTTAAAGTGTTTTGTAGCTGTGCTGAGAGGCAGCTCTTGTCTAATTCAGAAGGCTTTCCAGAGACTGATGATGCTCAGAGCTTGTTGGTGCTAATGCTTGAGTTTGTGATACACTGAGTGCCCTCCGCTGGAGAAAACAGATTGCACATTAAAGACGGGAACAAGTGAGCCTGTCAGTGGTGTGCAGCCTTCCCTCTCTCAGAAAGGAGAATTAAAGGCACAGGATCACTTTTTTTCTCTCCAATTATACAAATTATGAAAGGTTTATGCCAAGGAGTTCCATTCAGTGATATCAAATATTAAGTAAGATACCGCTTCTCTAAATATTATGCAATTAGTAGTTTTTAAAAGTTGCCTCAACCTGAATTTTTTTTTCGCTGCACATACCGCAAGAGATTTCTTACGTTTTTTCAACAACAGACATAACTTGAGTTTTATTTTTGTTGCTGTTGGTTTGTTTTATTTATTTACATTTTTTAAGCAAATCACATAGAGGAACAATCTTACCCAAAGGAAAAACATAATTAGATCATTTTTAAAGATAGTCACATTTAAAATTTTTAAGTCTAATTTTTAAATTCCCAACCCCTGATAATAAAATATATTCTGCAATTATGTGCATTTTATTGAACAGTCTAGATAATTACTTTCTAAAAATGCACATTTTTAGACAAAGCAGTTTTTTAAATACTATATTACTAAATGTGAAGGCAACTAAGAGAAACTAAATGTTAGTGAGATAAGGGTAGAATATGACATCCTTAGTGCAGTCATTTCTTAAACTTGTCTACATTTATAATGCAATTCTTTTCCTATGCAAGTCACTTTCATAATGTGTAATTTCAAGAAAACACAAACATGTGAATGCTACATCATCTTTGTATTTCTCTCAAGTTTGCAGAATATCCTCAGAATTAGGAAGGATGAAATGATAAAATACCTGAGATATGCATTTTAAAAAACCTAGACACACTTTCCTTGAACTTGTACTGAACCTTGAAAAAAAAATATAATGCATCACCTCCATTTTGTTTCTCTTCTTTGCTTGTTTATTTCATAATCCTCTGGCACATAATAAATTTTGGAACAATCCAGAAGAATGAACCAATGTAGTATAGAGAAAGACTGCCAGGTAAGACTGCTAACCTACTTTAGCAGGTGTGAGAAGTTTAAATAAATTTTACATAAGCATCTAGAATTGCTGTGGATCACTGGAAATGAATAGTTTTAGAAATATTTCTTGGTTTTAGATTATCTGCCAAAATATTAATAAGGAGGGCTTGTCATGAATAACATATATAATTTTAATAAGTAAGGAGGGCTTGTCATATGAATAACATATATAATTTGACTCAGATTTATGAACAGGCAGTCACAGGCAACTGTCTAATTACTAAGATTTCTCAAGGAACAGAAAGGAATAATATGTCCTCCAAATATATCCCTTTCCCATTAACTGATACCTGAATTTCTATTTTAGAAATGTATGTCTTTGGCTTGAGGCTTAATACCTATTAAAATGCAAATGAACACCAAAAGAGGCTATTTTATTTGGTTAATGAAAGGGGTATACCTTTCTAAGGAAATAAATAAACACAAATGATACACATATAATTTGTTCATAGTAGTATAGTTTACAGAAAAACAAAAACCCCACCCAAATATTCAATGACAGAGGATTAGCAAAGAAAAAATTAATATATTCATGAAATAGAACACATGCTGCCATTAAAATTAAAATGGTTTCTATTTGCTGATAGGGAATGTGTAATGTACAAAGTAAGCAGGGTGGGGCAGAGAACACAAGTACTAGAGTATGATGAAAGGGAGTCTATTTCTGTACATAATTTTATTTGCATGAGGCCAAAATAAAATATACAGAGCAAATTTTCCTGGGAGATGGATTTTGGATGTATTTCATCTTTTATGATTTTTTTGTCTATTTGTATTTTCTAATTTTTTAAAAGTGATGACTATGTGGTACGTGTGATATATATACATATATATGTATACATTTTCCTTTGAATACAGGATATGAGAACAGCTTTTGATAGTAGATTGAAAAACATCTCATGATGTTATCCACATTCATGCTATATTAACCAGCTAAAATGCAAGTCTCGTTTGAAGTACTAAGATCTAATAGATGCTGTATTCCAAAGTAGATACTAGATCATATGCACAATTTACAAGATATAAAAAAATCAGTTACAGGTCTCTTGAACACACTGTGAGAACATAAAAGGGTCAGGAGAGTTGAGAGTGACAAAGGATGTTGTGTGGAAGATTTCTTTGGAAAGAGCTGTCCTGATGTTACCTACACACATGCATGTGTACACACACACACACACACACACACACACACACCCTTCACCTAAGGGAAGGGGGAGTATGTCAGCTCCTCAGCTTAATTGTACTGAAAGGGACTTCTACAGGCTACATGAAGAATTTGATATGTGTTTCCAATAGTGAGCCCAGCACTATAGAACGGTATCTGATTCTTGTCTGGGAAATCCAGAAGAGATAGGTTTGCCAGAACAAAGAAGAGTTAAAGTAGTGTTGGGATTGGCTTTCACTTTCAGAGTTTGTCTGGACAAAAATATGTACAAGTGTTTTTCATCCAAGAAAGGAGGGCTATGTGGGAGAGAAAGAATCAGCTTGAAGCCATTTTGAATCTTGGTGATACCCCCAACAGAAAGAGTCTGTGTAAGTGCATTGACCAAACAAACAGACAAGTAAACAAAAAACAAAAAGAAGCCGACGAAGTTTGGATAGGCACTAGATAGATGAAGAAGAAATGTGTCATCCTTGTCATGGGAAGTTTGGTCCATTATTCCTAATGTGGCTATTAAAGATCCCTCAGTGTGTCCATGAGAAAGAGAAACACGCTTTGACATCTGCTAAGCCCAGAGATCAAAAACCCTTTTTACAATTGTACCAGTCAACCAAGAAGTTTCCTGAGAGGGTCAGAAACAGCGGTGAGTAAGCGTGGGAGGAGGTAAGCAAAAATGAGGGAAGCTGACTACACTTCCTCTTTTTTCCTAGGTAGCTGATGGCCCACTTGCAACTGGTCCTGCACTGGAACAGAGAGAGCAATGCTTGTGCTTTATATGAAATATGAGGTATTGATTAATATGGTGGACTTAATCATTTCATTTACTGATTTGAGACTTTATGAACTAAGTATAACAGGATTTTTTGTCACCTCAAAGAGCATTCATTGATCTTACCTTGATAATTTCAAATTGACCATGGTAGGAGTATTTACACCAAGGAAATCAGCAAAAGCTAAAACACAAGGTGTGATGTATTGTTTTGTTGAGTGTCTAGACTTAAGAAAGTGATGAAGAAAATATTAATAATACAGATTAAACTTAAAACTGTACTGTTTTATAGCCATTTAATTATAAATAACACAAAAATTGAGAAATATCTTTCCAGTATTTGAAAACTATTATCTGATTGAGCAAAGAAGTCACACATCATTGACAAACAAGCGAAATTCCAGAATATGTCTTTGTTGTTTCCTTTTTGCTTACTCATCAATGTAAACAAAAATATCAGACAGTATTCACATTGGAATAATGCTTGGAGAGCCAGTTCTTAAACATTTACCAGCATAACACCATGTCTAGTGGTCTACATATTTATTGCTCCAAAAGTGAACCAGTTTGAGCATGTAAATGCTAGTGATGACCTGGTTTCAATCAATAAATCAAGTAATCAATCAATTGCTATTATCACAATCAATGTCACTTTCAATATCTTCTTTCTTTCCTAAAATATTATTTGATCTCCTTAATTAAAAATTAAAAGGCTGTGTGGGCTGGCCTGGTGGCATAGTGGTTAAGTTTGCGTGCTCCACTTCAGGGGCCCGGGGTTCACGGGTTCGGATTCCCGGCACAGACCGACACACCACTTATCAAGCCGTGCTGTGGCGGAGTCCCATATAAAGTAGAGGAAGATGGACACAGATGTTAGCCCAGGGCCAATCTTCCTCAGCAAAAAGAGGAGGATTGGCAACAGATGTTGGCTCAAGGCTAATCTTCCTCGCCAAAAAAAAAAAAGAAAAATAAATTAAAAGGCTGTGTCAGTTAAGAAGTTTAAAATTACAAGTGAAAGAAATCTTAACTCAAATTGAACAAAAATAAAATAGAAAATTATTTTAATTCATGCAAATGAAATATTAGTCAGATATAGCTTGATCCAGAAATTGAATGTATCCAGTTTCCTTTGGTCCATTTCTCAGGCCTAACTTCCTGTGTGTTATTTCCATTCTAATTCTGGTTTCTAGATAGCTCCAGTAGCTCCAGTGTCATACATATTAAGATTCAAGAACCAGTAGTAAATGTCATATTCATGCAGTGACTCTAGTGGAGTCTTTTTCTTCCACACTTGAATAATATTCTGTGTCCAGTGGATTGAGACTCTCTGGGTGGTTTACATAAAGGTCATGTATTCTACCCCTGAAGCAGTGCTGGGAATAGCTTCTTAAAAAACATGTATTTAAAGTGGGAGGAAAAATTATGTGTGCATCTCTTCCAAAGTATGAAGTCATCATTAAAAAGTGGCTGCCCTGCCAGGGCACACCTTGCAGCCAGGTGGGGACCATGTAACTAATCTTCACCACGGACTCTGAGCAGAAGTGATATGTATCACTTCCA